CCGCGCCCGCCGCAGTCCCGCGTCCGCGCCCGCGCCCGCGCCCGCCCCGCGCCCGCCATGTCCGAGATCCTACCCTACAGCGAGGACAAGATGGGCCGCTTCGGCTCGGACCCCGAGGGCTCCGACCTCTCTTTCAGCTGCCGCCTGCAGGACACCAACTCCTTCTTCGCCGGTAACCAGGCCAAGCGACCCCCCAAGCTGGGCCAGATCGGCCGAGCCAAGCGAGGTACGCGGCCCGGGCCGGAGTCGCCGCCTGACCCAGAAACCCTCCCCGCCGAGCGGCCTCGGCTCTGGCCGCTCACCGCGCAGCCCGCCGCCCTCCGCCTGGGCTTGGGGGCGGGGGTCCCGGCCGCAGTGTAGTCTCCCGCTCGCCCTCTCCCGGGAACGCACTGGCCCGGATTCGACGCTTGCCACCTCTGGAAGCGGAGCCTGGGCACCTGGGCGAGGGGGAGGCCCCGCCGGGGCATCTGGGGCTGCTTGCAGGTGGGGACGCGGGTGCCGGGGCAGTTCTTCAGGATCAGATGCTGGCCGGGTCGGGCTTGTCGCCCAGAACCTACGGATGGAGAGGGGCGTTCTCCTGGAGGGCGGGAGCCTGGGCGTTTGGTTGTTCTGGTCGTTTGCCTGGGGACAGGGAGCGTGTCGCTGGCAGGATTGGAAGTGGGGCTGAAGAAGCGAGAGGTTTAGGTCGGGAGGGTTGGACTAGCTGGATGCCCGTCCGAGCCCCATTTGAGGAAGGGGTTCTGCTGGAGTGAGGGTTAGCGGGGGTTCCACAGGCGAGAGCCGTCCGATCGCCTCAGGCGGCGGGAGGGCTGGCCGGGGGACGGGGGGGGTGGTGGACAGCCGCGCTCCGGCCAGGGGCGCCCCACCCCGGCAGGGGAAGGGGCTGTGGAGCGAGGCTCGGCGGCGGGAGAGTTGATGGTGAGGCCGAGGGGCGTCGCTGGGCCACGGCAGTCGCTGCAGAGGCGCGAGAAAAGGGGGCCGCTGTCACCACCGCCCCCCGAGGCCGCGCGGCTGACGCGCTTTCTCCCTGCGCAGTGGTGATCGAGGATGACCGGATAGACGACGTGCTGAAGGGGATGGGGGAGAAGCCGCCGTCCGGAGTGTAGACGCGCCGGCTCGGGCGGCGGGCTCCGGGCCCAGCCCCGCAGCGGCCAGGAGCGCGGGCCGGCGATGCGGCTGCCGGCGCCCCCCGCCCCGGCCCAGGCGCCCGCGGGCGGGGGCTGCAGGGCCGCGCCGCCGCCGGGCCAGTGCCGCCGTCGCCGGGCACTCCGGAGCTGTCCGCTTCAGCACCACGGCGGCGGCCCCGGTGGCAGTGGCGAGGACGCGCCCGGAGCCCGCCGCTGCCGCGCTCATGCACTTTAGAACCTCGAGCCGCAGCCCCACCCCGCACACCGGACGGACTCGCAGACCCGCGGCCCGCAGCCCCAGGCCCGCCCCCTCCCGCACGGCTCCCCTGCCCCGCCCCCTCCCGCCAGCCCGGTCTGCAGACCCGGCTGCGGCGTCGGAACCCGCGGCCAGGGACGTTTGGCTGCCACATCTGCATGAGCTTCTCGCCCACTAACCAGCCCTCTGGGCCATCCCCACCCTCACCCCGTCTGGCGTGGTCCTGGCCTCTTTCTAAGGGACTTCCTCGGCACATTTGTATTTTTATATCCGATTCTTTGTTTACTGGCTCTGCTCATGGTTCGTACCCCTGCCCCCCTCCCCCAGCCTCTGCCTTGCTCTTCTGCGCCTGGCAGATAGGACAGGTGTTGAGGCTGATGCGGGACAAGCCCCCAACATGGTAACCGACCACATGGCCACTCTGCCCAGGCCTGACCCCCAGCAGGCTCTCTGGCAGACTCCCCACCTCAAGGTATCACCTTTTAAGGGCCCAGATCTGACTTTACCTTGGACCCCTTCCTCCTACCCCTGGGAACCCAAGTGGGGCTGCTCTGCACCTTTGGATGACACCTGTGGACCTGGAGATGTTCTCAGCCCAGGGGTGTCCTTTGTAAATGTTCCTCCGTCCTCACTGTACAAGAGTGTGTGAATAAACACAGACCTCCGTGCGCGCGCGCGCGTGCGTGCGTGTGTATGTGTGTGTGTGCGCGCGCGCTCATGTGCTTACAACACCACTGCTGATTCGGGGGACTCAGGCCAGGCCAAAATGGAAGGGAGGCAGACAGGTACCGGGGAGCCTCAGATACACACTGCCGCTGAGGGAGGGAGGACAACTGAAGACAGGCAGGCCAACCTACCCTGGGGACACTGCAGTATGGTCACCTTGGGTACCCATGTACCCTAACCGGTGTTGGGCCTGCAGTTGGGGTCAGAAGCAGAAAGCAACCTGGATTCAAATGCTGCAGCCTCCTGTGAATAAATAAATGCAAGTAGGATGGGTTCTCCACGCTGGCTGTTGTGCAGGAGGGCTGTGTTAAGCTTGATCCCGGGGGATGGATCACTGGTGGTTTGGAATAGTGGATGAGGAGGTAGGGCACCCAGGAGAGATGTGAGGAATCCAAGAAGGAAGCCAGAAACCCAGGGGTCTGGACCCAGGCTGTATTGCTTCATGTGGGATTGCTCCCACCAGCTCCATGTGCACGAGGCCTCAGCATGTGAGGACCTTGGAACCAACCCTCAGCCCCGAGTCAGAAATTCCAACTCTAAGGAGCAGAGAACAGAAAGAGGAAGGGCTGGAGGACCACGCTTCCGCCTTCACAGCTGCATGCCACTGAGGAAGTCCTCTTGATCTGAGTCCTGGAGGAAGGAGGCGGGTGGGGGAGGCCTTGCGGGTGAGAGGAGCTGGGCCCCCAGGGCCAGCTGAGTCTCACTCAGCTCCCTGCCTTTGTGCATGAGGTAGAGGTAGAAGTGGAAGCCGCTGCCATAGGTTGCATGCCTCAGGGACCAGCCGTACTGGGCTTGAGCATAGTGTCTAGTCCGAAAGTGAGGGGCTGCTGAGGTCATTGAGACGAACCGGCCCCCAGGGAGCAGCACCCGGCTCACCTGCAAGGCAGACAGAGAAGTCATCAGTGATGAGTCATCTCCAGGTTCTCAAAGGTCAGTACCAGATGCCTTACCACTGAAACCTCAGTACCATCCTACATGTAGTAGCCCAGGCTGGCCATGGCAAAGCCCCTCCTCTGTCCCGGCCATCCAGGGGGTGGCACTATACTGTAGTCAGGGAGGAGCACGGGAGTGTGGGAGGCTCTGATTTCCTAGCAACTCTGTCACCTGTCTGAAACCTAGGTGCTACCTCATCCCTATGGCAACCCAGTAGCCAAACATCAACCTTTGTGAGCCTGGCCACTCCAGCCCCTTCTAATCTTGACCCAGTTTAACCACACTCCTAAGGGTGCTCCGGACAGACTTCCTGGCTTCTGAGTTCCTCTGGTCTCCTGAAACTTCAGCCCCTCTCCCCACCTCTTGGTCTGCTCTCCTCTCTTGTGTCTTTCTCACCTCACTCAGCACCTGGTCCACAGTGTGGACACCTTCAGAAGACACGATCCAGGGGTCCCGCTCCCCAGCCAGCAGGGCATCCAGGGTACCCTTCTCAAGTACCACGTCAAAGGAGTCATCAGGGAAGCCCAGTGCCCTCGCATCCATGGTCTCCCAGCGCAGCCTGGGGACGTGGGCATAGCGAGCCTGCATGGCGGCCACCACTACTGATGAGTAATCCACACTGGTCACGTTGGGAAAGCCTCCAAGGAACAGCTCGTAGCTCAAGGCACTGTTCCCGCAACCTGGCATAGGACAGGAAGGGTGGCAAAAGAGTAAGGGTTGTTTTGGTTCTCACCTTCCCCTGACTACTCATCCACCCTTGGCCCCATTTTTTCTCAGTCCAAACCTTCCAGCACTGAGGGGGAGGCAGCAAGCTGCAGAAATCACACAGCCCTGGGCACAAACCCTAGCTCCATCATTCCTAGCTGTGAATACTGGGGCAAGTTGTTTCAATACCAAGAACTTGGATTTCCTACTCAGGAAAAAAAAATGAAGATAACAGTCGATAGCTAGCCTATGTGTAGGCTGTGATGCAGTACATTTAAGAACTAACATTTAAGGGATGGGCCGGGGATTTAGCTCAGTGGTTTCACTGCCTGCTGCGCAAGCTCAAGGACCCAAGTTTAATCCCTGGTACCAAAAAAAAAAGGGCCAGGGGTTTAGCTCAGTGGATCCGGCACCTGTCACGCAAGCACACGGTCCCAAGTTCGATCCCCGGTACCAAAAAAAAAAGAACACCTAGGGAGAAGCTGAAGGCACTCAGAACTCAGGAGTTCAAAGATCTGGATGCTGCTATCTCTGGTCACACAGCCATGGGAAATCATTCAAGTCATTGGACTTTAGTGTCCTCAAACTCAGGATGGGGATAATAATGGTATCATTAGGACCATTTCAGTCATTAGCCTGGTCTCGAACCAATTGGAGGATCTGGAATGATATCAACCTTGAGTAGGCTTCACATTAGGGATTACTTTGACTTCTGAGGCAGAATTAATAAACAAAGGGAAGACTAGTTGGGGAGACCGTGGAGCTGACCCTTGTGTGTACTGAGGAGCTGCTGAGTGAGCGCACCTGGTGGAAGGAGCCTGTGCTCTGGTGAACACAGCAAATGTGAAATCAGGAATCTTCCAGGTAATGCGGGGAGCATTTCAATAGGGGCAGGCTGTGGGAGCATATGAGAGGGCCTTCAACCCGACCAGGTGGATCAGATGAGTTTTAGGGGAGCCTAGCTACGCAGCACTTTGGGGGGAAATCAACACTGCAGTGGAAAGTATCTCGAATGCAGTCTCCAAGAGGGCAGGGTAAAGCTGGAGAGGGATGAGGGAAGCGGACTACAGCCCAATGGGGATGACTGCTTTGAAAGATCCAGCGGCCTCTTCCAGGCCCTCCCGTGGCCAGCTCAGCCTGAGAACAGGTCTGGATGACAGCTCCTGGCAGCCCTGCGTGGGGATCCCAGTTCTGGGAATTATGCTGCCTTTAATCCTCATTTACTTCCCTAAGAGGATCACAGGATCAGCTGTTGTGATAGCCCTAATCTAGCAGGGCTTGGCACTCAGACAGGGCATCAGAGGCAGCTGGCCAGTCCTCAGCAGTCCCTTCCCACGGTCTTCCTCAGCCTCTGGGGCTCAAGGAGAGTGTTGTCTCACCTGGAAAAGCCTAATGCATGTTTCCCCGCACTGCAGCCCCAACACATGCTAGCAGATACAGCGCAAAGAGTTGGAGGTAAGGGTGGCTGAATAGGAGACCCCAACTCAGCTCCAGGTTGAAATCCTACTGAGCCCTCTGACCACGGTTCCTTTATCACCTAGTACCTGACCTATCATGTCTGCAGAACTCTGTTCAAACGCAGACAAACCCAAATTTCCTTCGTTCCTTCCCCTTGGCATCTGCCAAGAGACCTGGACCAAAGATGAAGGGAGAAAGAAATCCTGACCACAGGGCCAGTGATCCTTACAAAGCAGTAATTTCTCATTTCTGCTTCAATGATCTCATGCCCATAATTACAATTGGGCTTGGGAAGCAGAGCCCTGGAGAACTGATCCAAATCCAAAAACACGTTACACGGAAGCCAGACCTATAAGGATGGGACTGAGTTGAAGGCCAATCATTGATTCATAAGAAGAAAAATAACCACCATGGGAACGGACAAGTGAACTCTACTCCTGTTAGCCTCTTCTCTCCAGGAACTTGGAAGCCACATTATGATCAGAAGATTCCTATGGAGAATGGACTAAGCAAAGGTAGAGAATCAGAGAAGTATAGTTTCATGATAGCAGAGCTGGGACAGCCATTCACATGCCTTCACCTGGCACAAGGCTGTTCTAGTCACAGGGACTAGAAACACAGGTCCTCAGACAAGACAATGTTCTTTGGATGGCCCTGGCTCAACCATCCCCTAACTCTCAATTTCAATAATAATGGCATGGAGCACAGGATAGAATGCTTGCCTAGCAGGCACAAGGCCCTGGGTTCCACCCTTAGCACGGTAGTGATGATGATGACAGCTAACAGCCATGAACACCAGGTTTGCCCCTAAGTGCTTCATAATCCCTCAGCTTAGTTTCACAGCTCCATATAGAAGATACTATTGTTCCCATTCCCTTTTTCTAGATGGGGAAATTAAGGAAAGTGAATAAACAATGTTCCTAAGGTTACATGGTCAGAGGTAGAGCCACAATTTAAACCACAGCCAGAGCTCTTAAGCCACTAAGCTCAACGGCCTCCCATTTCCCCAGAGGTCCTGTCACCTTTAGTGGAGACATTCCTTCATAGGCTGTATCAATGTGATCCTCAGGCTGCAACTCACAATGTAATCCCTGGACTCCTTTCAGCAGAGTTCTAGGTGCCTCTCCACCGATCTGCAAGGGGGAGCAGCAGAACTAGAAGCTCTGGAGCCGACCATGGTGGTGCACACCTGCAATCCCAGCATTCAGATTGTTGTGAGTTCCAAGCCAGCTTGGGCTACACAGTGAGTTCAAGGCCAGCCTGAACTACATACTGTTTAAAAAAAAAAAAAAAGACCCAGGTCTGGGGATTTAGCTCAGTGGTTTCCTCGCCTGCTGCGCAAGCAAGAACAAGGACCCAAGTTCGATCCTCAGTACCAAAAAAAAAAAAAGACCTGGAAGCTCTGAAGCCAGAGGCACCCTTACTTCACTACTGCTGCACGAGGGGAGCAGAGGGGAGCAGATACTGGCAGCGCTCTGACGATCCCCCCTCAGAGACCAGTTAGCAATTTTTGTATGTCCCTATGTTTAGGTGTGTTTTCACCTAACAGTTTACACCTGTGACTTTTCAAGTTGAATCCCCCTCAGGGAAAATTTGCCTGGCTTCTTCCCTATCCCTGTTCCCATTTCTCACCAATTTCTCCTGGGAGCTTTTACCTAACAAATGGCTTAGATATGAATTCTCACCTCAGAATTTGCTTCTGGGGAACCCAACTCAGACAAGGACCCACAGGAGAGATTGCTAAATTCAGCTCACCACCTTTGTTGCTATTGCTGTGGGGACTGAACCCATGGCCTGGTGCAAGCTAAGCAAGTGCTCTACCACTGAGCTACACACTCAGTCCTTTAAAATTTTTTCATTTATTTTTGCTAAACTGAGGGTTGAATTCAAGGATTTGCACATGCTAGGCAAGCGCTCTGTCACTGAGCTACATCCCCAGCCCTTAAAAAATTTTTTTTCAGACAAGATCTTGCTTGGGGATTGAATCCAGGGCCTGTGCACGGAGCTACATTCCCAGCCTTTTTATCTTAAAATTTTGAGTCTTCCCAAAGTGCTAGCATTATAGGTGTGCATCACCATGCCTGGATATCTAGACTGACCTTGAATTTCCCATCTTCTTGCCTCAGCCTCTTAAATAGTTTGGATTACAGGCATGTGCCACCACATCTGGCTTGCCACTTCTTTTTGTAATAAAGTTGTATTGGGATAGCTATTCTTACTCACTTACATATTGGATATATATATCCAATACAGAAGCAAAACTGAGTAGCTGTGACAGAGACCAAAGAGCCTAAAATATGTACCATCTGGCCCTGTTCAGTGAAGTTTACAGCCTGTCATGGTGGCTACTCAGGAGGCTGAGGCAGGAGGACCACAAGTATGAGGCTAGCCAGGGCAACTTAGTGAGACCCTGTCTCAAAATTTTAAAAGGCTCATTGTATAGCTCAGTGGTAAAGCACTCCTAGGTTGTTCAATCCCTAGTACCAGAAAAAAAGCAAAGGAAATAGTTTACAGACCCCCAACCTGGAGTAAGCCTCTTAATAGTTATCATTCACCTTTAGGGACTGTCATAAGGAGTAAGTAAGAAAGGGCCCAGCACATTCCCTGGCCCCTACCAGGTGCTCCACTTCTGTATGTTGAGGGGAAATGTAACATAGGGTCCTCCCAAGATGTAGTTACTGTTCCTAGATCTGGGAGATCCTTTCTGGAAGGCTTTTTTTCCCTTTTGAGGTTTAGAATTTTCATCCTTCTGATCTAGAAAAGGATTCTTTTTGGGAAAGCAGATTTTAAGGCAGTGTTACTTTGCCGACTACCAGCATGAAAATCAACTGTGGCACTTGTTGAAAACAGATTCCTGGAACACCTCTTAGACCAATCCTGGAATTAGAATCTCAGGGTGGGGTCCGGCTCTACAGGTGATTCTGATGGGCAGTAAAGCAGTTAAGCTTGAAAAACAAAGCCCTATGGTAAATCTGTAAAGAAATGCAATAGTTTACAATCACAAAATTCAAGAAACTGTTTATCTCTGGGGGAGGGGCTGGGGGGAACCACACCAAAAACGTTAAATGTACAAGACGCTTATTTTGCCAGTCATTCTGAAGATTCATGCACATCCAGTCTTCTTAAAAATCGGATATTTAAGTCTTTTGTTTGTTTTGTGGCACTGCAGTGAACCCCGGGCCTCACACATGCTAGCCAAGCACTCTACCACTTAGCTACATCCCCAGCCCTTTTTATTTTGAAGTAGGAACTCACTGAGTTGATCAGGCTGGCCTGGAACTCATAATCATTCTGCCTCATCCTGCTAAGGAGCTGGGATTACAGGCATATGCCACCACACCTGGCTTGTATTCGGGGTTTTTTTTTTTTTTTTTTTTTTTTTTGGTACCTGGGATTGAACTCAGGTCTTTGTGCTTGTGAGCCAGGCGGCGGCACCACTGAGCTAAATCCCTGGCCCTAGTATTCATTTTTTTTAAGGCAAAGAAAATAAGGGAAAGAAATTTAAGTATTATGGGCAAGATTACAGAGCCAGTATCAGCTGAGCCAAGATTCCAACATAATTAGCTGCGTCCAGAGTCCAAGTTCTTAAGCACTAGATTATTCCTTTCTAATTCTAGTAATGTTCTATTTCACAAACTGAATATATTTAATAGATATTATATATAATGTTCTTTTTATGTGTATCAAATATTTCATTTAAATATAAGATTTTAGAGCTGGGGGTGGTGGCACACACCTGTGATCCCAGGACTCCTCTTGCTGAAGCAGGAGAATCACCGCGAGTTCGAGGCCAGCTTAGGCTATATAGTGAGTTCAAGGCCAACCTAAACTACATAGCGAGACCCTGTCTCCAAAAATAATTATACATACATACATACATAACAGCTTTACACAGAGCAAAATAAAAACTGTGACTGGAAAGAAACCCGTGGCTCACTCAAACGTCACTAAGCGCCTCCGAGGCAGACAGGCAGACGGTGGGAGAGCCCGAGGCAGGCAGCCGGACCTCAGATCGCACCTCCCGCCTTCAGTCCTTTGGGAAATCACACCAACCTCGGCTGCAGCTCCCCTCCGACCTCAGAGGGCGCTGTTCTCACTCTCACTTCGCGCGCCTCAGGACTAAGTTTCAGCCCAGGGCTCGAAAGAGTGCAAACTCCCTCTAAGTGACAGCGGCTCCAGGAGCCCCCTGGCGTGAACACAAAAGCGGTGGGCGACGTGCTCGAGGTGCCTGCAGTCCCATTTCTACAAGCGGAAAGCTCACCGCGATTCACGGCGTGTACTGTTAGGCGGCTCATTAGCCCTGAGACCGACTCGGTGCTTAGTCCTGCGGGGCCAGGGCCACCTCCCCAGTCTGGAGCAGGTCCTAGTCACCCCCACGCTCGGCTCCTAGGACTGTCCTCCTCCTGGTTGCCCCAGCGAATATGATTGGACTCTGAAGGCTATGGATCCTGGCTCGGGCGTCCAGGAAGAGGGGCGAACTGACTGGGGGAAACCGCGGGGCCGTCCGGCAGGCGCCCCGAGCCGGGCAGCGCCGGGACTACCCACCTAGCACCAGGATACGGTCCTCGGGCCGCAGCTCCGGCTCCAGGAGGGCACGGAAGGAGGAGAAGTTCCCGAACCACTCGTAGGGGGCGGAGTCGGCCGCGCCTCGGTAGCGCTGGTCCCAGTACTGGACCTCGCAGTACTCGAAGTTCCGCTCGGGCAACGCCGGCGAGGGAGAGGGGCAACCGGGAGAGGCCATACTCGCTGCAGCCTCCGGAGCCCGGCCCAGTAGCCAATCGAGAGCGCCGGAGGCGGGACCCTGGGGGCCCCGCCCACCTCTCGCGGTTGCTCAACACAAACACGTGGAACTTCCGTCTGGTGCCGGGCGCTCTTTGGAGAATCCTCCGGTTGGAAAGCCGAATCGGATCCTGAAGGCCCTGGCTGCCCAGTCACCTCGGAGGGCCACGCCTGGTGTCAGACTCACTCAGGCTCATCACTGCGACCTCTCGTGTTTCAGTTTCAACGGCTCCGCCCATTAAGCCTGAAAAGTAACTGGAGACTCACTTTTAATCAAGTCGTCTCTGATCTCCAGGAAGGCTCTGAAAGGAGGCGGGAGAGGTGCAGACAGGTGCTTTGCCCTCCAGTACAAACTCGAGTTTTTCCTGCACAGGCAAAGTGGAAATGAGCCTGGAATGCAGGAGGCAGGACTTGCTTTTCTGGGCAGACGTTCATCCTGTATTAGCGCCTGTGTGCCCGGCTGGGTATATACTGAGGAGTAAAACTTTGCTCCTGCTCTTACGGAGAGTGTAAACCACTGGAGAGATGTGGAAGAAATAATTTTAGTGGAGTAAGAACTGATTTGGGTCCCTCACCAGCAGCGCTTGGCTTGGTGAAACCTACCCCGCAGGGAGCGGAACCTAAGTGCCGAAAGGTTGAGTTTCCGGGGTGGTGGGCCCACTAGAGCGGCGCACTGTCAAGATGGCGGCTGGGCAGCGGAAACGCGGCCGGGCTGGTTCCGCGGCCCCGCAGGCCGGATTCTACAAACAATGGCTACAGCGCGCCTGGCAAGATCGGTGCCTACTGCTGCGGGAGCCGCGCTACACGCTGCAGGTGGCCTCCTGCCTCTGCCTGGCGGAGGTGGGCATCACCTTCTGGGTCATTCACAGGGTGGCATGTGAGTGCGCCGAACGGGAGAGGAGGTGAGGGAGGGAGATCAGACCCCTGATCCAAACTGGGATCCGGACTCGAAACTCCAAACTTGACTTCAAAGACCCTCGTTTGTCATTTTCAGACTTAAATTCCTTACTGGAGCCCCCAGCCTGTTCCGCAGAAAATGCGATCTTAATCCCGCCCCCATAAGGAAGGGGTCGACCCTAGAGTTTGACTTTCTGCCTTGACCATTCAGCCTGCCAGGCTAAGAAAGCAAACCAGCCTGGAAATCATTTCTGGGGTAGAATTAATTTACTGCTGCTCCTGTTTGTCTTTGTGTCTTTGGACACGTCACTTCCCTTTCCAGATCTCAATTTTCTCACCCATTTGATTCTGAGGTCCAGAAAGTAGCTTCACAACGATGGCATTTTGTGCCCTCTTGAGTCCATTAGGCATTATAGGTGGCTCCTTTCAACACTAAATCTAAACAGTGGGTTTAAGGCACTGGCTTCCTGGCTAAAGACAATTCAGTCAACACATATTTATTGAGCACTTATATGCCTAATGTGCTAGGTACCAGAGGTGTTAAGAGAGATGAATGTGGCCCAAACAAAGATAAACTAGCAGGCACCTCCGGTGCACCATACTGTGATAGTAGAGACAAGATGAACACAGGAGGTCCAAACCTGAGGAATCAGGGAAAGTTTCATAGTGATCCCTTGAAAGGTGGGTATGAACTAGCCAAGTGAGGAAAGAAAGAAAAGGGGAGGGGAAGAACCCCCAACAAAGGGGTGTCAAAAAAGATATCCTTGGAGGGCTGGGGATTTAGCTCAGTGGTTCCACCGGCCCCGAAAGCACAAGGACCTGAGTTCAATCCCTGGTACAAAAAAAAAAAACCAACAAAAAAAATATCCTTGGCCAGGGATGTAGCTCATTGGAGCCATGCCTGCCTGGCAAGTGCAAGGTCCTGAGTTTGATTCCTGGTATCAAAAAAGCCTATCCAGGCATCGTGGTGATCTCAGTGCTCCTAGAAGGATTGCTGTGAGTTTGAGGCTAATCTGGGCTACAGAGTGACTTCAAGGCCAACCTGAACTACATAGCAAGACCCTGTCTCAAAAAAAAAAAAACAAAAACCCAAGTTCGATCCCCGGTACCAAAAAACAAACAAACAAACAAAGGAAAAAACAGCTGGAATGTAGAAAACTGACAATAGTAGTTTGAAACTGAGATGAAATTGCAGAAATTGAGATCAGATTTTGAAGAGATATAAAAGCCTTAAGGAGATAACATGGTATTTCAGAACTTGGGAGCCCTAACTGCAAAGCTTAGCTCACTGATCTTAAGCTACTCAATTAACTTTTAAGCTACCTAATTAACTTTTAGCCCCCTCTTGTAGAAATGGCCGTGATGGAGATTGATCTTTATCTTCAGAGTTTTAGGGAATCATTAAAGGGTTTTAAACAGAGAAACTTGATCATGATTTATATTGTAGGAAACTCTCCAATGCAAGGTGGAAAATAGACTGTAGTGGGGTGAAGGTGGAAGCCCATAAACCTAATTAGGAGAATACTGTCGGGCTACAGATTATGTTAGATCCAAAATGGAGTACATGGAACCTAGCAGAGAAAGATGAGCTGGTAGAGATAGTTAGGATGAATAGGCAAGACTTGTTGACTAAGGGTCAGAAATGAGAAAGATATATCAAAGATGTTACTTAGGGCCGGGCATTTAGCTCAGTGGTTTTGCCGCCTGCTACGCAAGCGCAAGGACCCGAGTTCAATCCCTGGTACCAAAAAGAAAAAGAAAAAAAAAATGTTACTTAGATTTGTGACCCAGTCAGCTAGGAGGTTGGCGGTGCTATTCCTAGAACCCAGGAAGGACAGCACATTGGGAATAGGAGGAAAGATTGTGAGTTCAATTATAGACACCCTGAGTTTAAGATACCAGGGTTTCCCAAGGGAATGACAAAGGGTGGTGTTAGAACCCCTGGGAATGGGCTGAACTCTTGTGCTTTGGTGTTCTGGGGACATAGGTGTGAGGGCAGGCAGTTTCTGGACTGAAAAGTAATGAGATTATCTTACCTTCTTCCAGACACAGAGATTGACTGGAAGGCCTACATGGCCCAGGTAGAAGGCGTCATTAATGGCACATATGACTATACACAGCTGCAGGGTGACACTGGACCACTTGTGTGAGTGGGGATAGAAGATTCCGGGAGGGTATGAAGGCCTGGCTAGGTACCAGACTGCTTGCCTTCCCTAGGCTCACATTCCCTGTCGTCTTCCAGCTACCCTGCTGGCTTTGTGTACATCTTCATGGGGCTGTACTATGCCACTGGCCGGGGCACTGACATTCGCATGGCCCAGAACATCTTTGCTGTGCTCTACCTGGCCACATTGCTGCTTGTTTTCTTGATCTACCACCAAACCTGCAAGGTGAGTCCATGCTGCCAGGACCAGAAGCCCCCAACCCGTGAGGATGGCCCAGGGGGATGGCTCAGGTTTGGGGAGCTGACCTTGTTTTCACTGTGCCTACCACTCAGGTGCCGCCCTTTGTCTTTTTCTTCATGTGCCTCACCTCTTACCGTGTCCACTCCATCTTTGTGCTGCGGCTCTTCAACGATCCTGTGGCCATGGCTCTGCTCTTCCTCAGCATCAACCTGTTCCTGGCCCAGCGCTGGGGCTGGGGCTGCTGCTTTTTCAGGTCAGCACCCTCCCTTCTGGCCCCTCCTCTTACTTTTTGCAACAGAGAGAGTAAGGGAGTGGTTACCCACAAGCTAAGTGCAGGACAGCATCCGTGGTTGGACTTAGCCCTTGTACACTTGAAATCCACATTCAGTCTGGGTGCAGGAACTAGATGTCTGGCCCTGCCCAGCCTGCTCCCTCAGCAGCTCCAAGTATGGGCCCATCCGCTGCTTGCTGGCAGGTGACGGTCGGTATAGCTGCAGGCCAGGGACACAGGCCTGGAGCTTGCCTCGACCCCTCCTCCCCATGCTCCCTGCAGCCTGGCAGTCTCTGTGAAGATGAATGTGCTGCTCTTTGCCCCTGGGTTGCTGTTCCTTCTCCTCACGAAGTTCGGCTTCCATAGTGCCCTCCCCAAGCTGGGCATCTGTGCTGGCCTTCAGGTACCCCTCTTTGCCCTTCCCCCTACTGGTGAAGGGGAGCCCACTCATCTGGCCTCCTTCCATCATTGAGGTTTCCTCAAAGCCGAGAGGTAGGATTTTGGAGTTGATTCTGAGCTGGCAGCCACCATGTCTGTTTTAGCTTTCATAACCCTAAAATAGAGCTATGGAACTAGCGGCTTCAGGCTTTAGCTATGCCTGTGGGTGACTTGGGGAGCCCAAGCCTCAGAGCCTTGTTCTTCCCTTCCTCCTCAGCTTCTCAGCTTGGGCGCTGGCATGAGGTGGCCGTGGGGAGGGGCTTTCTTGGTATTCTTGGTGGGAACTGGGGTCCCTCTGAAGGTCCCATCCTGCCCCTGCTCCCCTCAGTGATCGGCACGAGGCTGGGGCAAGCCTTGGCAGCCCTGCTGACATCACAACCCCCTCAGGTGGTGCTGGGGCTGCCCTTCCTCCTGGAGAACCCCATTGGCTACCTGTCTCGCTCCTTTGACCTCGGCCGCCAGTTTCTCTTCCGGTGGACAGTGAACTGGCGCTTCCTCCCGGAGGCGCTCTTCCTGCATCGCGCCTTCCACCTGGCACTGCTGGCTGCCCACCTCACCCTGCTCTTGCTGTTTGCCCTCTGCAGGTGGCACAGGTGAGAAGGGGACAGTAGGGTGAGCAGAGGTGGAGAGAGGAATAAAGAGCCTGGGCTGTGGGGCTACTTGGAGGGGATGTTAAGCTCCTGGGGATGAGGGTGGGTTTGGCCCGTGATGGGGGCTTAATAAATGTCCAGCTTGCTTCCCCCCAGGATGGGAGAAAGTATCCTGTCGCTGCTGAAGGACCCCTCCAAAAGGAAGGTCCCACCCCGGCCCCTCACACCCAATCATATCCTTTAAATCATGGAAAGGTAAGTCCTGTGCTCCAGGTGTCCAGTGCTGTCAGCCTCCAGTGACTGGTGCCCTGGGCCGGGAAGAAGAGCCCGTCCGCAGAGCTCTTCTTCTGCAGCACCGTGCCCAGCACTGCATCTGGAAGCGCGTTTTACTCTGAATTCTGAATGCCGAGCTGTGTAGCCAGCTGTGGTGGCACACGCCTATAATCCCAGCTCTTGGGAGGATGAGGCAGGAGGATAGAAATTTGAGCTATCTAGCAAGTTCCGGGCCACCCTGGACTACATAGACTCTCTCAATGAATGAATACAGGGGACCCTTGACTTAGGAACTCAATTTGTTCCCAGGGGCTGGTTGTAACAAGTTGCTCAATTGCCTTCAGAGTCTCTCTGCTGTATAATTTTAGGCTACACCTTCTTCCAGGCAGATCTCAGTGTCCCTAGGGAGACACTGACCCAGGATTTTTCAATTAACCCCACATAGGACAGGATGCTGTTGTGTTCCTTCCAGACTCTTTAAGGGTTAAGTCTGTATCTGAGACCATCTGGGAACACAAGTGGCTGGCATTCAGGTCATAACTCAAGACTTTGGTCCTTAAGTTAAAATTAAAATTCTGGTTACAACCCAGGTTGTTCGTATGTCAGGCTGGTCCTAACGCAGGGGTCCACCCTACATACCTATATATGTACAGAGCAGTATAAAGAATTGAGCTATAGCATGTGAGTGCTCACACGCTAGCCTAAGATTTCCATTCACTTAACATTGGAAGCACATGGGAGACCCTGAGATAGGGAGGTTCTCTTATGTGCACTTTGTAGATGGCAAAGTCAAGGCTTGAAGAGGCTGAGGTACCAGCGTCACGCAGCTCCTAAGTGAGGGATTTGCTCTCCCCAGGCCTTATGGTCCAGTGCACTTAGCTCGCCCACATAGAGGAGGGCCAGAGCCAGGGAAGTTCTGACCCCCAAACTTCTGCCCCCTATTTTGGGGCCCCTCTGCCCCCAACTCCTGCCCTTTTGGTTCCTGCCCTTGGCCTTGACCGTCACCTACAGATTGTGTCTACCCTCTTCACCTCCAACTTCATCGGCATCTGCTTCAGCCGCTCCCTCCACTACCAGTTCTACGTCTGGTACTTCCACACACTGCCCTACCTCCTGTGGGCCACACCTGCGGGCTGGCTCACACACCTGCTCAGGTAGAGCGGGGATGTGTAGGCGTGAGGAGCCAGAGGGCCCTGGCCCTGGACCTGGACAGCGCTGAATGGAGCATTTCTCATCTCCAGGTTGCTGGTGCTCGGGCTCATTGAGCTCTCCTGGAACACGTACCCCGCCACGTCCTGCAGCTCTGCCGCCCTGCACGCCTGCCATGCCATCATCCTGCTGCAGCTCTGGCTGGGGCCGCAGCCTTTCCCCAAGAGCGGCCGGCAGGGCAGGAAGGCCCACTGAGACCAGGGGATGGGCTCTGGGCCCTTCTCCATAAACCTTGCCATATGCCCCTTTGTGCAGCCTGCATGGGGCAGGGGTGGATGGTGCCTGGCCCAGCTGTGAGGGGGACCCGGCTGATAAAGAACTTGGCACTCTGGGAGGCCAAGGCAGAAGGATCACAAGTTCAAGCCCATCCTGGGTAACTTAGTGACTTAGGCCCTGTGGCAAAATAAAAAGGGCCAGGACGTAGCTCAGAATGAAGACCTGGGGTTCCCCTCCAGTGCTGTGAAAGCTAAATTAGGATAAAGCCTCACTTGGGGGATTGGTCATAAGAGGCACTTTATTGCATAGGATTTGGGGACCGTGGCTCTCTCCCCTTCCACTGCAGCAGGAGCTCGGAGCATGGGGGAGAGAAGAGGGAGAGAGCACAGGGAGGCACTTTTCGTGGGGGCCAGGGGGTTGCAGGGAGGAATGAGGTGGTGGAGGACCGGCTGCCACCAGCAGCCTTGCCCAGCACCGAGGGGCGGCCCTCACATGTTCGCAGGGCTGTAGCACAGCAGGTGGAGCTGGAGGTTCTGGTCCCAGTGGCGCAGCAGCAGGAAGAGCCCGCGGGCAGCGGCCTTGAGGGCAGCCAGGTCGAGGCCATCGGGCAGGTGCTGAGCCTGCAGCCAGCAGTCGGCCTTGGCCGCCGTCAGTTCCCACTCGCAGAAGGCGGCGGCGCAGCGGTGCTCCAGCCACGCGAGCGCCACGGCCGTGGCCCAGCTGCGGCCTCGCAGGTCGGCACCGTCCGCCCCGTCCGAGGCCTCGGTGTCGGAGCCCCGGCCGCTGTCCGCCTGCCCCTGACCCTCGGAGCCCGAGCTGGGGGTCGGGCTGCAGGAGGCCGTGGCGCCGTCGCCCTGGCCCACCCCGGGGCCCAGGAGCGCCCAGGGAGATGAGCCCGAAGCGGGGCTGAGGCTGGCGCGGTGCGCGGCGAAGGGCGAGGCGCGGTACAGGCGCTCCTTCGGGATGCGCACCGCGGCGCAGAAGGGCGCGTCCAGGCGGAAGCAGCCCAGCGCCTCCTGCAGCCGCACCTGAGGAGAGAGGAGGTGGGGGGAGAAGGCCGGGACGGTGCCCTGGCTGGCGTCGCCACCCTCCCTCCGCCTCCCGAGTCCTCACCAGGGCCAGGTAGTCGTGGTCACTGCCCTCGCTGTTGCCCTCACTGGCCGGCCCTGCGTCCGGGCTGCAGAGTCTGCGGCGGCGGCCCAGGCTGAGCCAGGAAGGAGGCTGGGGGAGCGGGCGGTGAGGACCTCCTGCGGGGGCCGTGGGGTCCCCCAGAGCTGCCCTGCAGTTGTCATTGTGGTCCAGGTGCTGGGCACCTGCAGAGAGCCTCTCTGAAGTCCTGTGGCGGGGCCAGCCCGGTGGGGCCTTACCCTTTCCCGCCTGGGTGATACCTTCAGAGGGCTCTGCCGTGGGCAGAGCAGCTGCGTCTAGTCGGCCCTCAGAGGCAGAAGACGCAGCCGGGGGCTCTGCTGGTTCTGCAGGGAACGTGACAGCTTTGTGTGGTGGATAGGCAGTGAGGTGACAGGCCCTCCTGAGAGTTCACAGGAGGGGAGGGAACCCTACCTGAGCTCCGAACCTGCAGAGCCTCCGGCAGCACCTCCCTGGTGGCAGCGTCCACAGCTACTGGGCAGGTGAAGCAGGATGGGGCCAAGCTGACCTTGCTCGTCTGAAGGGCTCGGAGCAGGGACCTCCTCGCATGGCCTATGAATCAAGAAGCTTGTGCTGAGCACCCACCCTCCATGGGGCTGCTGAAAATATCAAGGTGACCCCAAGCTTCTCCCTCCGTGCACTTGTGAACAGTGTGGTACCATCTCAGCCCCAAACCAGCTCAGACTCCCTCACTTTGACAAGAAGTGGTCGGGCTGGGCACTCAGCCTGTAATAGGGTAGGAGCCCCTGGCCTCGGGAAGGCAAGTGTCTGGGCTCCACTCAGGAACATTGCCTGCTTCCTTTCCTCCACTCTTCCGTGCTGTCCCACAGAACTTCCTGTGCTGTGGAAATGTTCTGTGTCTGCATGGTCCATGTGACTAGTGGGTACTTCAAGTGTGGCTAGTGCAACTCAGGGACTGAAATTGTGTGTGTGTGTGTGCGCGCGCGCGAGTGCTGTACTGGGGTTGAACCCAGGACCTTGCACTGAGCTACATCCCCATGCCCAGCTTCCCAGCCCTTTTTTATTTTTTGAGATAAGGTCTCACTAAAATTGCCCAGGCTGGGCTCAACCTTGTGATCCTCCTGCCTCAGCCTCCCTAGAAGCTGGGAGCACGTGTTGATCACCATGCCTGGCTGGATTTCTTATCAGTGTGATGAGCCATCTCAAATCATTTGTGAACAAAATCGGGAACAGACAGTGACCCTTGGCCTGTCCCACGCCCCGGGGCCTGACTCCGCCCACCAGCAACTCACCCCGCTCAGCCGCACTCTCTGCCCCTCCTCGGAGAGCCAGCTGTTCGTTGTCCCGAACCACAGAGGCTGCCGTCAGGCGGTGGAATGCTTGGTCCCAAGCAGCCTCTCTCCCAGGGGGCGATGGAGGCCTTGAGCCATCCCTGAGCCCCCACAGTGTCTCCAGCCCAACACCCACCTCCCAGCACATGGGCTGCTCCCCACACAGGCCCCGGATCACCACATGGCAGTGGGGGGCCTGGGGCGGCAGTGGCTCAGCTGGAGGGGCCGGCTCCTCCCTGGGGGGCACCGCTGTGAACGAGAAGGGTGGCTCCATCCACATGTCCCAGTCCATGGTGCCTGGGGAAAGCAGGTTTCCTGGTGAGAGAAGACGGCTGGGGTGAGGGCGATGTGCAGCCCCAGGCACCAAGGTCCTTGGTGTCAGGGAAGCCACCTCCCCATCCAGCCTTACCTGAGTCATCCAGGCCCTGACCCAGCTGTTGGCCTGGCTTTAGGACAGCCCCATCCAGCACTGCGCCCAGAGAGGGGTGCCGAGGTTGGCCGGGCACTGGGTTTGCCCAGCCTGGCGGGGATGAGAGACTTCGGCCAACCAGAGCAGCTCTGTGCTGCCGGCCCAGCACCTCAGCACTCAGGGCTCCTGCCTGCTTGGGAGAGGTGGGGCCACTGGTCAAGGAACGCAGAGCTTCCTGTCTCTGTCCACCGTGCATAGCTGGCTACGTGCTCCTGTAAGCTCACCCACTCCCTCTCCCACTTAAAGTTGGTGCTTTCGTCTATGTTTTCCTTATGTCTTCTCCTTCTTTACCTAGCTACGTCTACTTATTCTTCCAGATGTGACTCTTAGTCTCCTGACTCCCTCTGGACAGTTGCCACTCTGGCTCTGCGCTCCGGTGATGGAACCATGTCCTGTGTTCCTCACTGGCTGTTGCGTGTTGTTATTATAGACGTATCCATCTATCTCCTAGCTAGACTTAATCATCAGCCTCACACCACGTGCAGCACGTGGCAGGTGGTAAATACATTTTGCTGGCTACTTGATGGATAAATGTGGGCCGAGTCTTCTCACCTTCAATGAAGACTGTGGGGGTGCAGGCAGCGGGCAGGACTGGGAGCCCACAGGTTCCCCCCAGGCCAGGCTGCGGCAGCCCTGCTGAGAAGGGGGATCCAGGGGGAAGGTGCCCTCCGGGGAGCCAGGGCCCTGGGAGCCTGGGGACTCACTGCTCCCAGTGGAGCCTGGCCCTGGCTCGGGGCTGGCAGAGCAGTGGGTGAGGACGTACTGCTCCTGGATATATGAGGACTGGAAGATGCGGCGCCATATGGCCGTGTTGGAGGAGGGATTGGGTCCCGGGTCTGTGACCGGGTCCGTCAGAGCATCCGTACCTGTTGGGCAGAGAAGAATGGGCCCCGGCCCTGTCCCCTCCCCCCACCCTCTCTGTCCCAGCCCCACACATCCGCTGGGTGCTCACTCTGCTCTGAGTCCCTGGCACCCCATGGGCTGGACAGCTCTGCGGACGCAGTGCCCGTTCCTAGTGGCTCTGAGGTGCCAGTCAGCTCAGTGCCAGGGCTGATGACAGATGGCACCTCCTCTGGGGATGGGAACACAGAGCCACCAAAGCTCTGCCAGCCAGGCTCTTGCCCCTAAGAGAAATAGCACGGAGAAAAAAATCGATGGTAGCTATACACTGCCTCTTTCCAAACAGGATCTAACAGTGGAAGTAATGAAGCTAATAAACTGGAAGCGAAAGACGGCTACTAGGGGAGGAGGAAACAGACATGTTAGCATGGGTTAGCAGAACTGCTGCACAGCTGAGCTTTGGGCTTGGTCTTGAGCTTCCTGGAAGCCAGGTAATAAAAAGGCAAACAATCTATTATATGGTTCTCATAATAAAAAAGGAAGAAGGGCCCGGGGATTTAGCTCAGTGGTGCTGTTGCCTGCCTTGAAAACACAAGGTCCTGAGTTCAATCCCTGGTACCAAAAATAAATAAATAAGGAAGAACCATCCTTGGTTCTTCTAGGTAAATGCAGCTTTTCATTTAGAAAGAAAAGAATTCTCCAATTCCTGCTATGTGTGACATAGCCTGCGAAGGGCACTAGAGCCGTGAACTCTGGTTACAGCAACCGATGACAAGCCTCATTTACGCGGGAGGAAAAGAGCTCCGTCCGAGAGGTTACGTGACTTGGGTTGTCAGAGGTAGAGCCAGGGCCGGAGACTGCATCTCCGTGAAGACCACCCGTCTCTGTCCTGAGCGTAGCAGGGGTGTATCCGTCGGCATAAGCCACTGTGTGAGAGTGAGCAACCCTTTTGACAAAAGCATCACAGCGAGTGCTGGAGCTGTTTGGTGGCTGTGAGCTTCAGTGAGAAACAAGGCAACGCCTTACAGGACAGCTCCCTGCAGACCCAAGGAGAGGGGCGGGATGTATCACCCCGGGGGTCCAAGTGCAAGTCTGTGGAGCCCTAGATGCCAACAGAGGAGTCCCGTGAGAGAGGCAGGGGGAGAGGAGGGCTCTGAAGCCCCCGCCCAGACGTACCCCCAGAGGCCGGGTCCGGAAGCCATCCGTCCTGAAGAGTGAGCAGTAGCCGAGCAGCTGGTCCCCAGGGTAGAGGGCCGGGATCTCCCTCGGGGTCAGCAGGGCCTCCACGGCATCAGGCACGAACCAGTCCACAGAGATGTCACTGAGAGCGGGCTCCAGCGCCTTCCGCAGAGCCTGCACCAGCTTCGGGGAGCAGCCAGAGGGGGGACACAGACATCGGGGTGTCACAGCCAGACGGGGCAAACAAGGTGCTCTTCTCTGATGGCGTCTGCCCAGCCCTGGACTGATAGGGAATAGGGTCGGGCTGGGATCAAGACAAAGAAGGCTCTGGGAGTCTGAGGCAGGAGGATCACAAGTTTAAGACCAGTCTGGGCAACTTAGTGAGACCCTCTGCCAAAAATAAAAGCCAGGTTGGACACACAGCTCAGAGCAAAGACCCTGGGTTCAGGTCCCAGGGAGGGGGGCGGGAGTAAAGCAGGGTGAGGGTGCTTGGTTCTCGGGGCTTGGTCTGTTCCTGGCCTGAGCTTTGTGCTGTGGATGGGACAAGACTTCTGAGGACGAGATTCATTTCCTAAGATCTGGGCACCCTACTCAGGTAGGGTGCCCAGAGCCCCTGCCCAATGGGGCTCCATGACTTGCGAGGACTTCCAGAGCAGAGCACTGGGCCCAGCTCACTCACCATGGGCTGCAGCCTCTCCCCGGGCCGCAGAAAGTGGGCCCTGCCCCTGCTGAGCACCGCCAGCCCCTGGAGCAGCTGACGGCAGCCGGATCCCAGCCCGAAGGAGAAGCACCTGATGAGGAGGGCAAGCAGCTGTGACCTTCAGTAGCGCTCCGCTCCAGAGGGCTCAGTCCTGGGCACTGGCTCTGCCCATTCCGTACCTGGCTGCCCCCCGGTGCCACCTCATGAGCTCCAGGGCTTGGTGGGTGGTGGCAGCCCCAGGCGAGGCAGCAGTGAGCAGGAACAGCTGCCGAGGGTGAGCCCTGTGCTGAGGCTGCCCCAAGGCCCAGTCGAGTGCAGCCAGGACATCTGGGGGACCCCATGCCACCTGCAGGGCCTCAATGTTCTCACAGATGAGCTGCACGGTGTCCTGGACAGAGGCGCACAGGCTGGGCAGGGCTGTGCTGAGTTGGCCCCACGGGGTCCCCAACCCACATCACACTCACATTGCTGCAGGCCCGGCTCTCGGGGAAGAGAGGTTGCACGGAGGTCCCAAACGTGGTCAGGTTGACAAGGGTCTGAGATGGGAGGGACTTCACAGCCAGCACAATGGCATCCTGGAGAGGCGGAGAGAGGACGGCCGATTGCTCACCAGCTCCGGGCCAAGATAAAATGAGGGCTGGCCGAGGTCACCCAGGGGAGGCACTGCCTGTGAGGGATGAGTGTGCAGGACCCTGGTGCCAGGGACAGTGTGGGCAGGAGATGGAGGGGGAGATGAATCAGACTCCGAGACTGGGTTGCCAGTGCAACTCTGGCTCTTGGAATCTGGAAGCGACACACGTGTGAGTGTATGACAAAAGCAAGGCTGATTGTGTGCGTGCAAAGATGATGTCTGAAGCAGCAAGGAGAATGGCCGCTGGAGGCCGCCCCCGGCTCCCCTGTGACCCACCGCCCCCAGCCCACGGCCGCCCCCAGGGAGCCCTGGCCTTGTGAGCTGCGCTGCTGCCATCCAGGAGGAAGAGAAGCTCCCGAGTCACTGTGTCCAGGCGCCCAGGGCTGGAGCTGAGGTCTGGGCAGAAGCTCAGCACCAGCACAGGGTTCAGCAGGATGTCCTTGTGGAAGCGGCGCTGCAGGAACCACACCTGGCGGGGAGCCTGCGTCAGCCCAGGGGTACTTAGTGGAGCCCTGTCCAGGCCGGCAGGGGGACCTGGGCCTGGGGGGCTTTCTGTCCACTTCTCCCAGAAGGGCAGCTTTGCAGTGATCTGGATGAAGGCTGTGGGAGGCTGCCCCCTGCTTGTGTCCAACCACACCCTACCAGTCACTGGGGGAAGCTCACGAAGTCCCCCATGACAGTACCCCTCTGGCCTCTGCCATGGGCCGGGGTGGCAGCCAGGAGAGGTCTTGCTGAGAGAAGAGGCCCTGCCCCAGCCCAACACGAGCCCGTGCCTCACACAACACACCTGCCGGTCCCCGGCGCTGTCCTGTCGCTGTCGCTGCAGCCTCTGGAAATCCCGGCGGGCCCTCACCTGGGCTTCGTATTCTTCAGCGCTCTGGCTGCCGGCCTCCAGCATCAAGTGTGGCTGGTGGGGCTCTGAGAGGAGGGCGACACAGCTCTGTCAGGAAAACCCCCTCCTCTGCCTGGAGCCGTATCCCCAGCCCTTCTTTCTTAAATATGGAAACAGGGTCTCCCCAAGTTTGCTAAGTTGCTCAAGGTGGGCTTGGACTTGTGATCCTCCCGCCTCAGCCTCCCAGAGTGCTGGCAGTACGGGCGTTTGCCCCTGTAGGTCCAGGCTCTGTGCACCACGGGCCGTCCTCACTGAGGACTCGGCCTGTCCGGCCTGGGGCCCTGAAATCTGCATTTGCAAACTCTTCCTTTCCACTGTGTGGCCCAGGCTCTTACCGCTGGGGTGCAGCAGGATCTCCAAGGACCGGTCACATCGGTGGCCCTCGGCCAGTGTGACACAGATGGTGGCAGCAGAGCTGGCGTGGGGGGGGGCGTCTGCCCGCAGGGCATGTGAGGGGCTCTCCAGGCCTGAGGGACAGAGAGGCAGAGAGGGGTGACGGTCACCTCAGCCCAGGACAGCAGCAAGAGCACCAACAGCACCTCCTGGAGGCCCGCGTCTGAGGACTGGGGCTGATAGCAACTCAGATGGGTGAGGGCGGCTCTGCTCTCCTGGGCTGGGACCTGCATTTCCAGCTCTGTTCTGGGCTGGTTGCTGAGTTACACATCAACCAATTAGCGCCCTCCGCTACCTCTTGCACCAAGAAAATCCTTTTCACCCTGTGGACTGGTCCATTCTAAGTGTCTGTCCTGCCACGGGGAGGATATATACACAAATAAATCACACTGATAAACGTGTGTGTGTAGAAGTGGCCAGGGTGCTCCCAGCTTTAAGACTTCAGCCTTCACTCAGTCCCTGTCTTCCTTTTGTCCTGTGCTCCATCTCTGAGCCTGGCATTCTTTTCCAGGCTGATGCCCCAGCCAGGCCCACCTGCCAGCAGGCACGGTCCAGTCACCAGCATCTCGAAGGAGAAGGTGTAGGGGGCAGGGCATCGGGCAGGGCCTGAGAACACGTCTGTGGGGGCCGCTGGCTCCTCCCGGGGCAGCCCTTCCTCCTGAGGGCTGCCCACACCAAAGCAGCTGGTGGGGCTGGAAGGGAGCATGAGGAAGGGTCACCCCCAAGCCCCCAGCCCCAGAGGCCCAGTGGCCCCCCACCCCCTCCCCCTGTCCAGCCCCTGGGGCATCCTGCTGAGCCCCCCTCACCCGCACTAGACCTACAGAAGCCAAGGAAGGGACGAAGAGAATCACCATAGGCCCAACCTGTCGTCACAGAGCCCCGGAGGCCTGGGGGGCCCTGGTGGGTCTGGTGGGACCAGTGGGGTGAGCACGCAGGGCAGAGCCACGTGCAGCACCCCATCGGGCCTGGAGGGGAGCTCCCGGCTGCTGCTCAGGGTCACTGTCATGGTGCCGGCGGGGGCGATAAGGCCCGTGGGCAGCACCAGCGTGGACCGGGCCTGGGCCAGATCCAAGACAAGGTGACCTGTGATGAGTGAGACAGGGAATCAGAGGGGACTGGCGGAAGACAGAATGAGGAGCAGGCACCGAGTTGGGGGACTTCGCATGGCTGGCAGGACACTGGGGATGCAGCGTGGAGACAGATGTGAAACGGATGGTGGGTGAGGTGGGGTGATGCTAGACGGCACCAGCTGTCACCAGCTGGGAGAGGGGTGGTGACCCCGCTCCCAGGGAGGCATGGAGAAGGGGACAGACCCATCCCCAAGTGCTGGGGGGCCACAGCCTCTGCTCTCCTCCCCTGCCTGCCCTTTCAGGCTCAGCCTTCTGGGTACCGTCATCCTAAAAGACGCCCCCTGTGGACGGACCTGTCCCTCTGGCCCGGGACTGGCTACGCTGGCCCGGGACTGGCTACGCTCACAAATTCCCATCTCATGAACATCAATGGCTCCCCAGGGCCCACCAGGGCGGCTCCAGAGGTTTCTACCTGGGAGGAGGGCAGGGGCAGTGATCTGCTTGGAAGCAGGCTGGAGGGTGTAAAACCTCTGCATGGAACATCTGCATACCAGGCACCCATTTTATTCAGATCACAGGTTCATTTGAGGAGTGGCAAGTCCATCTGGCCCTAGCCCACCTTTCTAGCCCTACACTACCTCACCTCCCCACAAGAGGCATTTGTTCATCCTTTTAAGAACCACTTGCTGAATAAAAGAAGGGAAGAAAATGAAAGAAAAGGAAAGAAGTACAGTAAGAAGGAAAGGGGCTTCCATCCCGGCCAGCAGAGGCCCATACAGTGGAGAGAATACTGCATCAGGCTGTGAAGCTCAGCTTTGTTATTTCTAATTGTGTCCTTTGGCAACCTTCTCAGGAGAATCAGTTTCTCCATCCATAAAATGGGGAACGTGATAACTATACATCAGAGCCTGTGGTGAGCAGTAAGTGGCAGAATGTATACAAAGCATCCAGTGTATAAATACATAAATAGGTTTGTATTATTCTCCTCACCAAAGGGGGAAGGGGAACAACCCACATGACACACCTGTCCCAGTAGGTGACAGCAGAGCCAGGGCTTTGCAAAGGGTAAATCACCATACCCATGAGGTGCCGGGCGGCTACCCAGTATGACCTCCTCACAAACCTCTGCTCCCCTCCACCAGTCCCAGGCTGGCTCCTCCTCCTTAGGGAACATCCCTGAACCCAGAGCCCCCTTTGCCTCTAACCACCTGCCAACTCTCAAGACACTGGATTCTGTCCCTCTTCTCACCCGGATGGTAAATGGCATGGGCAGGAATCAATGAAATGAGTGAAGAAATGAAGGAATGAAGTGCAAGCCACAGAACCCAGCGCAGGCCTCAGCATCGGTCTCCATCCCCACTGGGCCCCTCTGTGCCGGGCTCTGCGTGAGGAGCTGGGACTTGGAGGTGACCAAGCTCTGTCCTGAGCTCAGGAGCTAACGCTTCAGAGGGGGAAGCAGCCATGCGGACGGGCGACAAGGACTCTCCCTAGAAAGTGCTGTAATGAGGTGGCCCAAAAAGGCCGGGGAGCAAGGGAACATGCATTAATTATTTGTGGCAGAGTAAGGGAGGCTTTCCAAGGAGTGACATCTGAGTGCATCTTAAAACGTGCTCGTGAGGAGAGAAGGGAAGACAGAGTGGGGAGGTCAGTGAGTGAGGGCCAGGGTTGCACTGCCCCAGGGGGAGTGGAGCCTCCAGGACTACAGGGTGAGGGGCAGGAGGCAGCTCTGGGGGCAGGGCTGCTCCGCCCGGGCAGTAAGGGCCTCAGGCCCAGCAAGCTTGGCACTGCGGGGCCACATCCCCCAGACCCCGGAGTCCACCGGGGTAAGGGTGCGGCTGCGTGGATGAGAACACGGTGCGGAGGAGCGGGAGGGCGGGAGCCGAGCGGGCGGGGCGGGGCCCCGGCCTGGCCCCACTCACCCTGCGCGCAGCGACGGGGCGTGGACGCCCCCGACCCGGGGCCCAGCGCGCGGCAGCAGGCGGCCTGCGAGCGGCGCCGGCTCTGCAGCTGGAAGGACACGCGCCGTCCGGCCGCCTCGGCCTCGAAGCCCGACACCACTTCGGCCTCGGCGAGCGGGTACACGAAGACGCCTGCCGGAGGGAGGCAGGGCTGGATGCGGGCCGGCGGCCGGGGGCGGCGGAGGGCTCCCCCCGCCCGCGCCCGTGCCGGGCCTCACCGTCCACCGGCTGCGGCTGCGGGTTGCGGTAGGTGAGCCGCGCCCGCAGGCTGAGGCAGGGGCCGTTGGCACAGGCCCGGACCCAGGAGTCCGTGAGGGGCAGCGGCGTCCAGCTGGAGGGGCAGTAGAGGCCGGGCATGGTGCCCGGCGCGGGGCGCGGCCTGCAGGGGGCGCGGGCCGAGCGGGACCCGGGCGGGCAGGTGGCGGGGCAGAGGCGGGACGGGCGCCCTCGCGCGTTGCCTGGGACCCCGGAGGCCGAGAGTTAATGATTAACCCGGCCGCGGGCGCCTGAGAGTCCGGCCCCCGGGTCCCTGGGGTGGGGGAGCCACAGCTGCTTGTCACTCGCCCCCGTACCTGGCGGCCCCCGGGGTTCCCCGCGGCTCCCCGCGGCTGCCAGCTGTCGGAAGATGCGCGGGTGGGGAGCAGGCTTTAAAGGGCCAGCATCTTCCCGGCGGCCCGGCCGGAGAGGGATGTGCAGCGGGAAGCACCGCGGGCTTTATCCTGCGGTCTGGGGAGGGAGGGCAGGGTTGGGGGTGGAAAAGAGGGGCGCTTTGGGAGCCCTGGCCCGGAGAGGCGTCCGAGCACGGGAGTCCCCGCCACCAGATCTCAAGTCGCCGCCGTCTGCACCCGGGTCTCGGGGTCGTCCCCCTCCCTGCGCGCACGCCGGCCTCACCGCCGCTGCTCCGCGGAGTCCCAGGCGTTGCGACCGTACCCGGTGGGTGGCCCCGCACCTGCGGGGCGCTGGCTCGGGACTCCGCCCCGGTGGCTGCGAGTCCGGCAAGGGGCGTCTGGACTGCCGAGGTCCC